GAGGGGAGGAAAGTTTTCCATGGCTGGACCAGTTTCCTTGTCAAGCCAACCTGGTGCTCCTCAGGGATGTTTAAACATTTCCAGCCCTGGTGGATGACATCTCTTGCCCTGGAATGAAATGTTCTCTCCAAGCACTTAGACTGAATCTTCAGTAGGAAGAGGAAAAAGAACCCTATTTTTTTTGGCCATCTTTTTCAGCAGAACATAAGGAAAGAGAATTTAGTACAGGAAATGGCCGGTGGCTACCGATCACCTTCTTGGTCTGAAAACAATTCAAATTTCACTTCTCTGAAGACACTGTGTTCTGTGGAAGGTGTTGCTTCATTTCCTGCTCAGTATGTGGGGATAGTTGACCAAGAGCTGAGCAGATGCTTGTGAGCCCAGGAGAAGGGGGGGGTTGGGTCTCAGCTGCTGAACTTCTGAAGCTGTTTTCTTAGAGGCCCTGATGGAACTTCTCTAGGTGCTGAAGACCTCAAACCCTGTATGATTTTTATGAAGGAGCTAGAGCAGTGGTGTCTGCCTAAATCCAAAACATCCTTACAGAATAAAACCAAACCTTCTGAAAGCATTTATACTGTCCCACTTCGAGGGTTATAAAATAAATTGTGACCAGCTGGTGGAACCAAAGCACGTGTTCTAGAATAATGCGTGGTGAGCAGTCAGGGAATGCTGAGAACTCCAGAGCCTCCTTTCAAAAGTCCTTCAGTTTCGGACAGACAGTAACAACCTCATTCCCTATTTCCCGGGAGCCCATACACCCCCTAAAACTGGTGTTCTGGGGCACCACCATCCGTTTCTCAGCTCAGGGACAGAGAGGAGAGAGGATGTGGGAGCCAGCCTGGGGGTCTTTGTTGTCCTTGTCTTTCTGGATCGTGGAGGCTAAGTTGCTGATGCTTCATTACAAGGTAGTGGGGGCTCTGATTCCTTCAGCAAGTACTGCATCTCTTCCTATAACTGTTTTTGATGCTGTCAAGGTCTAAGATGAACTCTTTTTTTTTTTTTTTTTTTATTCATTTGCGAGAGAGAATGAGATAGAGAGAGAGCATGAGAGGGGAGAGGGTCAGAGGGAGAAGCAGACTCCCTGCTGAGCAGGGAGCCCGATGTGGGACTCGA